ACTGTTAGTCAGTACACGTTATTGGGCTAAATACCCAGGTCAGAGACTCCATCTTAATTTCAAATTGCTCACTTAGACCATGACGTAACTGTTAGTCAGTACACGTTATTGGGCTAAATACCCAGGTCAGAGACTCCATCTTAATTTCAAATTGCTCACTTAGACCATGACGTAACTGTTAGTCAGTACACGTTATTGGGCTAAATACCCAGGTCAGAGACTCCATCTTAATTTCAAATTGCTCACTTAGAGCATGACGTAACTGTTAGTCAGTACACGTTATTGGGCCAAATACCCAGGTCAGAGAATCCATCTTAATTTCAAATTGCTCACTTAGAGCATAACGTAACTGTTAGTCAGTACACGTTATTGGCTAAATACCCAGGTCAGAGACTCCATCTTAATTTCAAATTGCTGACCTAGGACCTTCAGAGATAAACAGCCCGGAACGCCAACTATTAGACCATAACCAGAAGGAATATGTTACTAGTATTTCAGTTTATGTTCTAAATTACTTCTTTGGAATATAAACGGCAGCGTTGACTTGGAAATTCGATTGCATTTGGTATCTAAAATCTATAAAGTAAGAGGATAAACGCTCACATGTTGCTATATCGGAACAACTCTTGTTTAAACACCTTCAAGATTTATATACGTATGTATGTATTATCATTATTCACCTGGTTTCTGATACGTTGGTATATTACAACAGCTATTTTCCAGGCTGCTTAAATACTTGAATACATATGTATGTATTATTATTATTATTCACCTGTTTCCCGATACGTTGCTATATCGCAAGAGCTATTTTCTAGGCTGTTTAAATATTCATATACATGTAGGCATTATTACGGACTAATTACGGCGATATCTAAGCCTCATTTTTCGCTATTTCTCTCTAAACTAATAAGCAAAAATAATCATAGTTCCATCAATCTTCATCCCGAGTTCAGAAGTTCTCAAATATTTCTTTTTATAATGCTCATATTTCTCTGTCCAAATTATTATGGATTTAATTAAATAACCTGATTTATGCACATAAAAACTACTATCTTTAAAAACTATGTGGATGTCGAGCCAAACTTTCTTAATGAATAAGTCTGAAACATGACATCTAACAATGAATAATTCACGAAAACTCACCACCAATGCGAGAAAAATTCCTTATTAAAGAAATAACAAACAATATATGATCCTAGCTAATTTTAAATTGGCAAGATTGTTATTTCACGACGTGATTAAGAATCAACTAAATTGACAACGAACCAGCACCAAAACAGGTTAGTAAACAAAATATCAGTCACCCCACATTTTTTATGCAAACAGACATTTGACAATTTCACGTGCATTCAGAAGTGCAAGTAACTGATCATCTCACCTACGCTTGCAAGTAAAGTATTTGGTTTTAAATCTTTGTTCTTCAAGATGATTTGATTCAGTACGGAGTTGTGTTCCTACGAATGGAAGGGCAACATATCAACAATGTTGCATGCTTAAAATTACTATAATGGTGATAAGGTCTTGGGGTATCCTTGATTAGACGTATAAAACAATTGTTTCCGAGTTAATTTAAATGTCTGAAGCTGAAAACAGGACCAATTACGCCATTATTTAGTAGAATAAGAGATTGTAGGGTATATTCTTTACGAGTTGTAGCATTAATAATTTAGTAATCTCAATGTTTTGTTATTTCGTCGTCTTCGATTCGAACCCGGGACCTCCACTACTAACAGTGCTCTACTAACAGAGGTAAATGGTAAGCTAGTGCTTGCTAGTAAGCCACTTTTTAACAACTACGATTCGAACCCGGGACCTCCACTACTAACAGAGGTAAATGGTTAGCTAGTGCTTGCTAGTAAGCCACTTTTTAACAACTAACTCAAATCACCTATTTACAAGCATGGTCCCTTGTCGGGTATCAGTTTATATTGTAGTATCTTCATTTTATATTATTTCCTCGGTTCAGTTTCGAACAACAGAATTCTCATACGTCGGGGAAGTGCTCTAGTATGCTAGGAAGTCACTTTTTAACAACTCAAACTATCGCAATGATAACATTTCTTAGGAAGTAATGATTCGTATGTTCACTTATCCTTATATCTTGCTGAATCCATCCTTATACCACCACCAGCTGAATCCACCCTTATACCACCACCAGCTGAATCCACCCTTATACCACCA